GGATGCATGGATTGATGGATGGAAAGAAGGAAGGAGGGAAGGAGAGAAGGAGAGAAGAATGGAGGGAGGGAAGGGGGAAGGAGGGAGGGAAGAAAGGAGGGAAGGAAGGAAGGAGGGAAGGAAGGAGGGAAGGAGAGAAGGAGAGAAGAATGGAGGGAGGGAAGGGGGAAGGAGGGAGGGAAGAAAGGAGGGAAGGAAGGAAGGAGGGAAGGAAGGAGGGAAGGAGAGAAGGAGAGAAGAATGGAGGGAGGGAAGGGGGAAGGAGGGAGGGAAGAAAGGAGGGAAGGAAGGAAGGAGGGAAGGAAGGAGGGAAGGAGGGAAGGAGAGAAGAAAGGAGGGAGGGAAGGGGGTAGGAGGGGGGGGAGGGAGGAGAGAAGAAACGAGGGAAGGAAAGAGGGAGGGAGGGAAGAAGAAGTAGGACCGTTGTAAGATAAGATGGATCTATGGGATGGTAAGAAAGCAATTTTCAAGTATATTGTCAACTGTAGGGGAAAAAATTGTTATAAATACATATTATCAATAACAGTTATGAGATCATATAATTGTGAATGTATATATGAAATTGATAAAATAAAAAATTAATAATAATAATAATAAAAAAACAAAATAAAATCCTGGGCTTCAGTTTTGAAGAACTTGGAGGAATTAAAAATATTGGTCTTCTCGCCAAAAATTGCTTAGTCGAGATCAGGGATGTCAAACTCCCAGCCCGCCGGCCGGATGCGTCATGTGCTGGCCACGCCTATTCCTGGTTTAGCGAAGCGGTGGGGGGGAGAGTCCGGCTACATCACAAGATGCGCTGTGATGATGTGAGTTTGACACCCCTGGTCTAGATGCTCCTAACTTTTAGGTGGTAGAGGATCTGCTTAATATTGAACACATTTCTTCACAAAATCTGTGACAAAATCTTTATGCTGATGGAATCATTATATCTACTAATGCAATTTCTAATATTTGCCCATTATTTAATACTTCTTACTTTGCTTTTTAGGTGGTTGTTCAGCATATACACTTTGAAGGACTTGGAAGAACTAAAGATGATATTATCATGTATGAAATCGGTGACGTTTTCAAAGCTAAAAACCTGATTGATGTGAGTGCTGAAATTCCTTAACCTGCTATCAAAAAATCTCAACAACTACATTATATTAGCATCTTTATTTAATTCCATAGAAATTTAGAAATATGACTGCTCAACTTCTGTGCCCAAATAATCTCACAAAACTTTACTAAAAAGTTTTTAGTATTTTGGAAGCAGGTTTTGAGTATCAATTTGGGATGGTGGAAAGACACTGATTTTTTTTAATGGATACAGATGTACAAATTTCAGGGGTTACTTGTGACATAATAGTATGCAGGTCTTTTCAGTATGAATTATCACAAACTCAGCCATCTGATGTGAGTATGAAATGAGCTGCCACAGGCATTTTAGGCTTTAGTGTTGCATATTTGCATTAAATTATATGAACATTCCATAGTTAATGGCATTTTCCTAGTGTAGCTTTTCCATGTTGCTGAAATCTTTTCATACCCCTCCAAAGGCAGTAGAAATTCTACATCTGATCTTGAAATCTGGATCAGTAAATTACTCAAATACGTACCTCTGCACATATCTGAGAAAAGGAATTGATTTTCAAGACAGTAAAGTATCTCTGTGGAGTTGGTTGATTTTTTTTTAGTGAAAGGATAAGTACATAACATGTAAATCCAAAGGAATTAAAATCTAATTTTGTAAAAGTTCAAGTACAGTACTTAGAAAATTCAATTTTTTTTAATGAAAATGCACAGCTCATTGAGTGAGTTGTATTAATTGGCACCAAAGGAATGGGTGTTGATTTATCATTTTGGTATTGGAAATATTTGTAATAATTTGATTATGACTTTTATATTTTGAAGGTGATGAGGAAATCACATGAAGCTCGTGAAAAGCTCCTCCGTCTAGGAATATTCAGACAAGTCGATGTACTGATCGATACATGTCAAGGTAATAATAACAGAATAACAGAGTTGGATGTGACCTTGGAGCTCTTCTAGTCCAACCCCCTGCTCAAGCAGGAGACCCTATAGCATTCCAGACCAATGGCTGTCCAGACTTTTCTTAAAAACATTCAGTGATAAGAGCACCCACAATTTCCGAAGGCATTTGGAATTGTTCTCACTGCTAGGGAAATTTCTCTTTACTTCCAGGCTGCTTCTCTCCTTGATTAGCTGAAGAAGCTTCTTAGATGAGAAGTTAAATGTCTTCAAAGAAAAACCAGAAAGTTCAGTTGCCTCTTGAAAAAAGCACCTTTGGCTCTCTTCTCATCAGCTGAAATCAAATCAAATCAAAATCAAATCATTTGAAGCTATGGGCTGTTGTGCTGCTCCCTGCATGGAGAGCTTTGAAAGGTTCTCGTAGACAAAAACAGTTACAGAAAGACAAAACAGTTATAAAATGTGGATCAGTAGCACATCCAACATTTTTGATCTTGGGATTTGTGGTCCATTTATTACAGAAGACGTCAAGTGATTTGCTTTTTCAACATACACTTAAATTGGCAAAAAAAAAGAAGAAAAAAAAAAGAATTGCGCTCCCTACAATAATGATACTTTTATCCTGATTACAGTGCTGTTTTCCCCTTTTATCTGTTCATAGTTAAATCTTTTAAATTGCCAATCTTGGACCAAATTTATAAACAAAAGTCAAGTGAAATAAAAAGGAAGAGTGCAGCTTCTACACAATAGCAAGGCCTAGCTAGTTCCACTAATCCCCGCTAAACCCAGATTAAGGGATGAGTCCGCCCTTCTGAAAGCTTTTCTTCCCATTGTGGAGATGGAGGCTTGGGGGTATTGGCACATCTCTCTGCTGAGGATTGAAGCAATGGCAGACTTCATCCTGCATTTGCAGGAGTGAGCATGCAGAAGGAGAGCAATAGGGAAGCGAGGAAGGGCCAGTCTCCTGTCTTAGCTGGAGTTTGGATACTGCTTTCAGGTCTGTTTTATCAAGTCCAATAATCTTTCTCGTTGCCATTGTGTATTTAGGTGTTACTTGTTCTGAAAAGGGATGCGGTGGCTCGGTGGCTAGGATACTGAGCTTGCCGATCAGAAAGGTTGGCAGTTTGGCGGTTCGAATCCCTAGCACTGCGTAACGGAGTGAGCTCCCGTTNCCCAGCGTGCCCGTTAGGATCGCTGTCCTAGGAGCAAATGGAAAACTCGCTACGGATCCCTTTGAGATACGGGAGGAAAGGCAGCGCTACAGCCTTCCGCCAGAGGGCAGCGGTGGGTTTGTTTTCTGCTTGCCTTTGCTGCCCTCCAGCGGCCCCTCGGCCATCTCGCGGCTTAGCCACTAAACAGCTTGAAAAGAACTGCCGTAAGTGTTGGCATGGAGTGGGTGGAGGAGAAGTCTTGCTAACATTTCTATCTCTAAAGTCCCACGCCGGGCCGAGGGAAGCGATCCCCTTTCCGCCCTTTTCTTTCTCCGGGCCAATCAGAAGCGGATCTTCTCCTGGGAGCTTCCGGAAGAGGAGGAGAAAGAGGCGGTGTCGAGGAGGAAGGAGGCGGCCGCTGCGCATGCGCGGGAGGCGGAGCGGCGCGCTTTCCAGGCGGAGGCCATGGGGACGGTGCACGCGCGGGTAGGGAGCTCGCCCGGCTGACCTTGGCGGGAGAGGGGGCATTTGGGGGGGGGGCACCGGTCGACGGTGGTCTTCTGGGCGTGTGCAGAGTGCCTCTACGCTTAGGCCGCTCCGGGGACGGTGGGTGGCTTCGGACCAACCTCGGGTGTCCCAGCAAAAGGAGGGAGGCTTGGAAGAGCCCCCTCCTCCCCATGTTAGTGGGAGATAATTGGGTTGCAGTTCAATCTTTTCCTGTTTTAAATAAAGTGGAAAAAGACATCCCACACCCAATATGGCGTTTGGGTCCATTGATGGCATTTGCCGTTGGATTTACAGGCGTCTTTATAGGCAGTCCTCGACTTACGGCAGCTTGTTTAGTGACTGTCCACAGCGACACTGAAAAAAAATGTGACTTGGGACCGGTTTTTTTTCATCCTTTGGCAGCGGCCTCACGGTCGGGTGATCAAAACTCAGAGGCTTGGCCGCTGACTCGGACATACGACCGTTGCTATGTCCCGAGGACTCCTGATCCCCTTTTTGCGACCTTCCGACAAGCAAAGTCAACAGGGAAGCCAGATTCACTGAACAACTGCGTTACTAACTTAGCAACCGCTGTGATTCACTGAACAGCTGCGGCAAGGAAGGTGGTAAAGCGAGGCCAAGCCCACTTAGCAAGTGTCTCACTTAGCAACAGAGAGGTTGGGCTCGGTTGTAGTCGTAAGTCGAGGACTGCCTGCATTTTGGGCAGCCTAAGCAGAGCGCCTTGTCCTCCCTGCCCTTGTTTCTCCTGCAACGACGACCTTGCGTGGACTGAGAGGCAGGACCAGCCCCAAAACTCAAGAGTTTCCTGGCTTCTAACCTATCTGCCTTCATTCCTCCTCAGATTGGCTCTCATTTTTAGCCAATACTTGCTTGTGTGTGTGTGTGTGTGTGTGTGTGTGTGTGTGTGTG